ATTTAATTTATTAATATTTTAAATTTATATTTTTAGCTAAATATTGAATTCTACTGTTTTAAAAGTGTAAGAGCGAATTAATTAAGAGAAAAATTCGAAAAGACGAACAAGCTATTTAGTAACCCAGCACTAGGACTATAAAGTATTTGTTATTGATCGCTAGCATAGTACTTTGCGTTATTCTAAAGTTATTTTATAACATTTTTGTAATAATTTAAAGTTTAAAATTGTAAATTAATCAAATTTATAAAATTTGTTTATAATTTTTGGCCATATTATGAATATCTATTATATAGGTACATTATTTACATAATTCGTTTTCATAACAATATGCTTAAGATCACAGATTTAAATCTTTCATTAGGTTTTGAGTCATTTAATGCAATTTAATTATTACTATAAGATAAATTACATAAAATAATGGTTAAAGGTACACAAAATTATTAACTATAAAATGAATGTTATAATATTACAATATATTACAATATATCAGTTTAAAATGAAGGAAATATTGTACTTATGAAGAAGACATTTATTTATTCATTTCTCATTTATTCCATACAATGCTAAATCATTTACTTTCCTTAATATACATTTTATATACTACATAATATATTTTGATAACTACAAATTTATTATTTAATGTACGTTTTATTATGCAATTTATATTATAAAAGTTCTTAAAACATTTATGTACAATAATTGATTTATTTAATAAATAATTTATGTAAAATAATCTTTTAATATTTTCAATGTTATATCTTCTTTTTGTATAACATATTATTATGCCTATACCAAAATTTCTATATATTAAAGTTTAAATTTAATATGTAAAACATCAGTATTTAATTTAAAATAACATCCTCCATAACATTTAATAATAGTATAGATATATTATTTTTAAATTTAAAATATTGTACATATTATTAATTCTTCATTCCTAAGAATAACAATGTTGTTATAGGAAATTATAGTATTACACAATCACAGTCGCCAAAAATAGATACTTTGTCGAATGACAAAAATAATTACAACAATCATCATCTTTCTTATACGATTAAAATAGTATGCATTAATGGAAGTAAATAGTATAGTATAACATTATACTAAATTTATACAATACACTTATGCATTGAGCATATAATAATTTGTCATTTAAAGTAATATTAAAATATTTAATAACAAATAAATCTGTATTATCATTATATTTTTAATGATATTGTTATACAAGTATATAAATATTATATTGAAATCAAATCTGCTTCAATATAAAATATTTTATAATTGAAAATTTTATGCAAAAATATTGTATATTATGTACAACATTGTATATTTATAGGCAATAACGTGTATGTTATTTTCACTTTCATATTCAAATTATAGTTTTACTTGTAAAATATAATAAATAAATGGCAAGAACAATATATTTGTGTGAAATATACTATTTATTATAGTGTAGTATTTATATTATAGTATCACAATTTATACTATGTATAATGAAATTGTTATTTTTCACTTTGGTTTTCCACTCTATAATATCCTGACCATTTTTATGGTTTAATAGTTGTGGTTATTTTTATCGAATGTTCTTTTATAATAGAAAAAGATGCAAAAATAATAAAGAAAACAGGAATAAAACAAATCATAAACAAAATATGTAAAAAAAGAATTGTTATATAAAACAGAAGAGTATTTTTATACATAGTTTTCTTCTTAATTTTAAAAGAGTATAAAATAAATTTCAAATAAATAAATGTACTCATAATTTAAAATTGACATTAAGATTATTATATTAAATGTTATACCAAAATTATCACCACTAATACCATAACAATATACAAGAATAACAATATTATATTGTGGGAATTTAAAATATTTAAGAATAACAAAAACTAAGTTAGATGTATTTATATTGTAATACATAAATATTTAAAAAATTGTGATATAAACAAGGTTACAAGGGAAATGTTATGTTGATGAATAATATTTTTTTGTAATGCAATATTTTATAAAATGTAAAAGTATATGACACACAATTATTGTAATAACAAAAAATAATGAAAATAGTAATGTTTCTGCAGGAAAACAAATTTTGTTCATTCCTTAAAGGATTTTTTTAGAAGTCCTTTTAAAATATTTTATTGTATACGAGCACTGCACATTTTTCCTTCAAATTTGATTTAATTTTTTTTGTTTTTTAATATTTTTTCGTAGTTATAAAAATTTCTGAAAATTTTTCTGTCAAATTCAATTTTCATAACATTTCCTTGTGGAAAAAAAATTTTCTTTAAATACAAAATTCCAACATTTTACAGTATGAAAATTCAATGTAAACTGTTAACTGTTATACAGCTTTAAGTTATATGGGGAAATTTATTGCACAGAAATTTAAAAAAAAAAAAATTTCTTTTTTGAATTTTTAATTTATATCGCATGAAATTTCAGTTATAGGTACTAGAAGACTAGTCTGATAATAATAGACAAGCTGTATTAAAAGTTTTTGATTATTTTCAAGCTATATTAATTATTTATATATTTTTGTAAAATCAGTCTTAAACATGAATAATTTTAAAAGAACAAGAATTTAAATTCTAGTTACAAAAGTAATATGAACATAATATGTTTCAAATTGTAGGCAAATAGAATATTTGGAAGGTGAAAATGAGATTTTCGAAATTTATATTTGAATATAATAGCATTGTCGAAATTAGTCAAATATCGAAAGCAAGCAACTTTAGAATTAATATAACTATTTAAGGTTCATAAAATATATTCTAAGAATTACAATATACCCGTGCGGTAGGCCCTGAAAATTAACTTATAATCTACAAGTACAACCGAATAATCATAATAAGTAATAACATAACATTGTTATACATACCATCATATAAGCAAAAATTAATCATGTTAAGTGCAATAATTTATGTTTTAAAATCATATAAATTTTGGATAATAGTAAATCAATCTGTAAAATTTTATATTTCAAAAAAAATTTAATTTAAGTACATACGCATTAAAATCAAATTCTCTTTTAATTTATAAGAAATAAACCTAAAAATAATTCTCCACTTCTGCATCTATGTAACAGTAGACAGATTTGAAAAAATATTGCAAAAAAATATTATTAAACAGCAATAAAATTTGTTATCAATTACTGTTTAACTTGCATTTTATGATGAATTAAAAGTAAAACATGTAATCAAATTATTTTTAATATTTCACGAAAATTCTTCAAAAATTATGTATGTATATAAGCAGAAGGAAGAAAACTTTAAAAAAATTATATACGAATGTATTTGTTACGATTTTTATTTTGCAGAAATCTGCAACAAAATTCAAATTCTTGCTGCATGGACATATTACGTACTTCTTATATTAAAGTAAAATTAAAAAGCTTTCTCTCGTATAACAATCATATTTTATACCAACACAACTATGTTGAAGTTGTGTACAGGATTAATTTTAAAAAGCAAAATGAATACAAAGAATGAAAACTATATTTTTAGTTTTAAATTTAAAAATATTTCGAAAAAAATTTATCAAAAATGATAACAATAAATATAACAACAAAAGCAACGCAAAAGAAAAAATGGTAATAAATAAATAAAAATGAAAATTTTCTTATTTTCTTTATCATATTTTTCTTTGACCGGCTTTTTTACGATTGTATTTGTGATAATAACAATATATACATACAATAATATTTTTGTTGTTTTCTAGTTATATAAAGGGATTCCCGTTATATTTTATATTTTTTTATGTCCTTCTTTATTTTATTTCAATATCGTGTTGAATGTTAGAAGTTTATTTTGTTGCTATCTACATTTTGGTTTTATACGTTTCCTTGTTGTTATTTTAATTTTTTCATTTTTTTTTGTTTTTTGAATTTCTTTTAAAAGAAAAACCACATTTTTTTATTTGAAAAGCTCCAGTCTATCTAAGGATTCTGTTGAAAACGGTCGTGAATCCTGTATTGAGTGCATAGTAAATTATTTTTGTTATAAAATTTTTAAAGAAGAAAAAAAGGAAGAAGAATATTTTCATATCAATAAATATAATTACAATATTTTTAAATTTTGCGTGAAAATAAAAAATTATTAATATTCTTATTTTGATTAAAAAAGAAATCTTAATTTTTAAATGCGGGAAATAACTATAATTTTTAGAATTACCTTATGAATTTTAAATAACCAAATAAATATGATAATATTAAAATTAACAAATTAACAATTGTCCATTGCAATTTGGTTTTATTATTTAATTTTATAATTATAAAATGTTTATGAATAAAATTGTGCTTAAATATTGTAATATCGTTGAAGTAGAATTTGTATATATAATATTAAAAAAATACCGTTATCTAAATTAACTTTATCATTTTGCTTAATATCCTTAAATATTTAATAATAATACAATTTCCTTAATAGGAATTAGATCTTAAAAACAATATAAATATAAAAGAAAATCTTAAAAATTAAATTAAAGAAAAAAGGACTATAAATAATAAATGACTTAAGTAAGAAAAATCTAAAAATAATCAAAGATAAAAAAAATTAAAAATTATTTTTTTTTGTAAATAATTAAATTCAAAGTACACTCAAGCAAAGAATCAAAGTAAAATAAATAATGTAAATTTTAAATCAAATAGTAGAAAATGCAATTGCATATAATATTATAAAAAAAAAACAAATAATAATTAATAGAAAACAAATAAAATATCCTTTTTCAATTATTAAAAAGGATATATTGAATATTAAATTTTAATTTTAAAGTAAATTTAAATAATAAATTTTCTGTACATTTGTTTTTAAATTTAATTATAAATATTTAAATATATAGAAATTTTTTATTCAATTTAATTATTATTCTTAACACTTGAATTGAAAATTTTTGTCTTTTCCGATTTAATTAATAAAAACGAAGATAAATGTAAAATTTGTATTCAAATTGTGAAAAAATTTATTAAAAATTTAAAAAGATTTATATAATATAAAATAATATTTCTAAATTGTTTTAAGATATAAAAAAATTATCTGATTTTTAATTTAATAACATTACTTTAGTGAAAGTATTTAACGGAAAGATTATAATACATTTAAAATAAAATTATTACTATAATTAAGGTAAATTATTATGTAAGTTGTTAAGATTTTTATGTCCTAATTACATTATGTATACTATGTATATAGAAAGAAAAGGTCATCAAATGAGAAAAATTAAAAACTTGTACCAATTTTTAAATTTGTTCCGACCAAGTCTTTGAAAGTGAATGAACAATCTTAGAAAACTTATTCATATCGTTAGATATGCATAATTTTCAAGTCTTTAGATCTTTGTAAATTTTATTCACATTTTACATTCTACTGTATAAATTAAATATCGTAAAATAAAAGTAATTTTTAAAGTTCAAATAAGTTTAGTTTAAATTCACATATCAGGGCTTTTAACCTTAATTGCATTTTTAATTTTACTCGAATAAATTTTATTAACATTTTGCTTTGACTTGTAATATAATTAAATTAGATTTCATTTTTGGCATTCAGATGCTCATCATGAATATTACATGACATCATCAACTTATATAGCATATAGAGTCTTTGTGAGACAGCCAACTTTTATAGTTAAATTTTTGCAATATTAAAACTTACATATATGAAATTCACTTTGTCATCTAAAATAAGTTAAAGAACTCTTAATTAATAATTAAAAAATAATTTATATTGCAACTTACACTGCAATCTTTTTCACAATCTGTATTTTGAGTGATAGTAAATCTTAAAAGACTTACTTATATTTTCCTATGAAGAAAACTGAAGCAATTATTCAGAAATTTTTGCAAACAATTTTTTTGAAGAACAACTACATAATCATGATGTTGATATTAACGTTAACTACTTACCAATTTATAATAAAAAAATAAGATTTACTCTTAAGTTAGCATACAATTTATTGGTGCAAAAAATTATGTATACCAAGTCACAGAAAATGTCTAAATAGGCCCTTAATTAAAATTTCAAAGCTAGTGATATTATGTAGACTATTAAATTTTAAAACGTGCAGACACTTCTACTTTTATTTTGAAATTTAAATGTATATAATCATTTTAGTTCTTTATTAAAATAAGTTAAAAGAAATTATCAAAATGATTAAAGTCTGAATTGAGCGTCTTTAATAAGACTACATGTAATATTTCTTTTATATTAATAATATTTTCAAGGTGCATGGATAATTTTTAAAAAATTTTGATAGCGTAAATAAGATGGATGTCACGAACATGATGCTAAATCCTTGCAACTTTAATTGAAATTACGCACTTTAAAAATTTCACTTAAAATATATAGTAAAATAAAAAATGAATTATTTTTTAAGTATATTATTGAATGTGTTGCTATTGCAGCCTGTTGTAAATTAAAAGGGAATTTAAAAGTACAAGTATTTGTTGAATGAAGTCCAAGGGTACAATTAATAATCAAAGACGAAACTAAAACAATTTCATTTAATAATTTATTATGAGTTCCATTTTAAATGTAAAGGTTTAGAGCTTTGAAGGTCCAAATGTAATTTAACACAACATTCAATTAAAGTGGTTGGTTTTTGTTCAATGTACATACATATCATGTAAATTGAATATCTTTAATTATTGATTTACAAACTGAAAAAGGTGTTGTAGGTTATGGTAAATTAATCTTGAAAGATTCATTATAATCAGGTCTTCTGAGACATTACGAATTATAATAGAAGATTTGTTAAAAAATTTGAGTGTGATTTTTATACAAGCACTTTTTAATTCTAAAAAAAAAAATGTTCTAAACCAATATTATAATGAAATTTTGAACTCAAACGGTAGGACAAAATCCTACTCTTATTTCGGAAAAAAAAATAACATGGCAAAAAGAAACTTCTCACTTTGAAGTTTTAAGAAATTAAAAATTCAAATAAATTTGTTTTCTCACACCTGCATTGTATATAATATGAGTGGAAGAGTGATTTAAAGACAGAAAGTTTCGTTTTTCCTTTCTAGGTGTAGGTATGAGTTATAACATTGAGATATGTAAGTAGTATGTGTATATTCTGTATCTGTATAATGTTTGCATTAATTTTTATTGCATTAGTTTTAATGAATAAATTTAAATTAATTAAATTAAGATGTTTTAAATTATTTCCCTTTCCATTCCATACAAGAATGTACATACTATATATTTTAATAGGAAGTGTTCTTTGAAATATATACATATATAATGTGTTATAATAGGAATTTTAATGAGAAATGTTGCTTTTATTTTATAACACTTTCATACATGGTTGGAACATACGTTCATATAATGTAGCAATAATTGTAACTTACCGGGAAGTACAAGAAAACTTGAAAAATATCCCTGATCAGATCATATTGCGTAAATATTTCTCGAAAATTCGTTTTACTAAGAGGCCATTAAAATATAGTCGGCTCATATTAGTAAGCTATTTTCCCTGTTTGTGATTCAAGTGATTGTATTTGTCTTTACATTAATTAATTAATTAATTAAATTAAGAATTTATCTTAATTTTTTGCTAAAATTTATTTACTGAGAATATAAGTGCCAATAGGGAATAAATTTGGAACCACATATTTAATATAGAAAAAATTTAAGAAATTAAATTAAATTTTAATTAAATTTCGTAATATTTATATCAAGGTTTTTAAAAATATGTGCGTAGGGAATTAGTTCACCAGAGAACTGGCATGGATTTTAAAAGTGTGTTAAATATTTTACAAAATATTTTTTGATGAAATTTTAAATAAACTGATTTTTGGTTTATATTTGGTTTATTGCGGTAAAATAACTTGAAAACTACATAATTTGCAAGAGTATAATTAAAATTTTTCTATTATATTAATAAAATTTTAAAATATTGTAAATGTATTGCTCGAAAATATAATGTTAATCAATTAAAAAGATTTTATTAAGAAAATTAAGGTCTAAAACCCTCTTGCACTTTAGTTTTATGTATTTATTTACTACACTTGCGCAAAACGTATAAAACGTATTGGTTATGTTCTCTAATATTTAAATAATTCTCCATTTCTGTTGATTAAAAGTTCTTATGATCAAGTGATCAAAATTATCATATCATCAATTCACCATCTTTAGGTCCCATGGTAAATTAAATACTTTATGATATTATCATGAAGACCTCAAGACATTTAGTCTACTCCAATGAAATACGTAGTGGCTTATTGATTAATATGGTATTTATCTTTAAAGTGCATATTCTAAATCTTTTATATATGAAATATTTGAAATGTGTTTAGCACTTTAATTAATTTTTTTTTTTGGAGTCAAAACGAGGCACTTGTTTTATAATAATGTTTTCCCTGAATATTATATAGCGTCTCGAATTCTGTTAATCTAATTTTTTTTTCCCCGATACTCATTTTCAAAAGTTCTGTTTGCACAAGTCCAGAGAAAAACTCATGAAATTTCGACTTGTTAGGAGGTTTTTATATTCCAACCTTTGTTTCCTATTAATTTTAAAAAAACGGAACAACCATTACTTCATGTTCAAGAAACTATATTATTCTTTAGGACTGGTTAAACATTAAATTGAAAATTAAATTTAAATTTTAAAATAACTTAAAGAATTCTATTTCTTGATCAAGGATTCAGATATAATTTTATGACATTTTCGATTGCAATTTGCAACAACTTACATGTATATAAATTGTTAAAATAAATATAATAAAGAGATATTATTTACATACATTTGTATTTATAAATCAATAATTTCCTCAAAATATAATTTTAATTTAAAATAATTAATTCCTTTCGTAATATGAATCTATAATCTATAATAAACCATAATAATATTAAAATTAGTTGAACCGAATGAATAATAATTATTGTTAGACATGAACTTTAATTTAAAAAAATTTTACAATTTTACCTTTATTATAAAAACTTTATGAGAAATTTTTAGAAATGCCAAAAAAATCTAAAAAAATTTTTTTTAATTTTGTATTTTTGAATAAAATCCAAACTTTTTGTTTAATGACAAATTTTGAAAAATCGATTAAAAGTTTAAATTCCAATCGTTTTTAATAGAAAGGATTTTTCTTATTAAAATAAGTTCGATTTTTTTGCTATTAAATTGTGAAATTTTTCTTGAAAATTTAAATGACAATAACAAAATTCAACAACAATTCAATTTTTCTCAACTTTTTATATTTCAATTATTTATAAAAGAAAATAAAGAATTTGCAAATGATAACGAATGAACGCTGAAAATAAAAAAAAAAAAACAAAAATACAACAACATAAGAATCTAACAAAGTTTTTTTTTTCAAACTTTTATACACACTTTTTGATTTAATTAAATTTTTGAATTAGTATTCAAAGTACGTTCGTATTTAAAATTAAAATGAACCACTGACTGACTGGTTATTTGTGATAAACTGATAAATATTCAAAAATTAGTGGTAAAAAATGACTTGACATTATTTTAATAGTTTCTCGTCATAATTTCATTTAGAAAATAAAATTTCAAATCATTGATAATTAAAATAATTCTGTTTAACAGAATTTCTATTTAGTCTTTTTATGAAAATACAAGTGGTACAAATCTAAATTTTGATAATCTTACGCCTGACCGGAATCCAGTGCGATTTCAACTTTTATGTGTTATATTTTAAGGTGCAAACTCGTTGACGCAAAGGATCTTCTTGTTTAAATTATGATTTCAGATTGAATTGAGTTCATAATTTGGATTGAAGCTCGGACCTGAATCTGGATTATAAAAAACACTTAAGCTCATTTGCTAAGAAGAGTTATAATTCTTGTAAATACGGTGTCATCTTGAAAATTTTAAGTCCCAATTCATTTACGGGAAGACTGTAATATGTTAAATGGAAATTTATATCTTTTCGTTATTATTGCCATTCAAACTGAATAGGTAAGCACAAAATTTACACGTGTTTTACATTTAGGAATCCTCGTTTGACTGCTAGTTGAAAGCCAGTACTCATTGAATGTGCACTCGTAGAAGAAAATTGTGCACATTTTGAATTTACAAAAACAGGGAATAATTATATATTTTTCATTCTTGTATGTAATAAAATAAATTTGAGGTCTCGACTTTTGAAGTGGTGAAGCGAACTTAAAAAAATTTTTAAAAATGGAGACAGGCCAAGTCCGACATGATTTCCATTGAAACGTTGCTTTTTTGGCTTCTCATGATCTTACTAATATAAATTTAATAATCAGGCACGGGCTCATTTATTTGTAATCTCACTTCCGCTTTAATATTTTTCGTGCAGGATAAATTAAGAATCTGCTGACCAGACAATATCACAAACCATTTAATATTTTGCATTCATATTGAAAAATAGTTTTAATTTTCAGCATTTTATCAAAAAGTACAATGCAAAAAAAAAAATATTTTATCCTTTCAATTAATTAAAGTCTTGTTTGTTCCTCATTTCTTATTTTAATTAGAACATCAATTCTTCAATATTAATTTTTTTTTCTTACAGTTTTTCAATATTCCTTAAAAGTTTAACGTCTTCCTTACAACAAAACAAAAAAACAAAAATATAAGAAACGAATTCCTTCTTTCACTCTTTTATTGTCATATTAATTTAAAATTATTTTATAAAATGGTCGTAATTGAAGTTTTTTTTCCTTTTTTTTCTCTTTTCTTGTTCGTTTTATTTTTCGCACTGATTTCATACAATATAAGTACCCGATTTTTAACAAGTCATCAATGTGCATTCAACCATTACCCAGAAAATGAATAAAAACGAAAAATCATATTGTAAAAGTCTTAGAGCCTTCAGACCAAGAAAATTTTATTAAAAAGCCATTATTGAAAAGAAATCCGATCAACTAACATACAGAATAATGATTTTGATAATAATAATTTGAGAAAATGAATAAAACGATCAAAAAATCAGAAATACCACAAAGAAAAAAAAAAAATTAAAATTATCATAAAGCCTGGCAACAGACCGCATCAAACCATTAACTAAAGAAAAAAGCACAAGAGAACAGCACAAAAAATAGTGGAAAAAAAAATTAATTTTCAAAATGACTTTATTTTTTTTTTTGTTTTTAATTTTCATTTGGTTTTTCTCTTCTTCTCATCTATCTCTTTTTTATTCTCAAAATAATATATTTTTCGTCTTCGCTTTTTTTTTTTTATTTAAAACATTGCTTTTCTTAAATAAACTTCCTAGAAACTTTATCGTCCTTCAAAAAGGATTTAAATAAGTATTTATTGACTTTGCTTTTTTTTCATGCTGGGTTTTAAAACACACACTCTATATAGCATAGAGTAGAAAAGACTGAAAAGATATGCTTGTGTACATATTGAAAGTAAAGCTACTATGTATAAGCAATTATGGCAAAAAAAAACAAAAACCAAAAAACAAACTGTAAAAGATTATGTGCTTAAAAAGTCAGTTTTGATAATTAACGCTTCAACTGTTTCCCAAAAAAAAAGCAACAAATTAAAAAAAGAGAATAAACAAACAAAAAAATTAAGTTAAAAATAAAAACAAGCAAAAGCAAAAAAATAAATAAAATTGGTAAAAGTTCGGATTTTCTCCCTCTCTTTCTTTCTTAAATTTCTTATTGCAAGGTTAAAAATTTTTTACTCTTGTGTGGTATATGGGTATTTTCTACCATTTTTTGACAGTTTTTTTTTTTTAGAGTGCCATTTTATGTGTTCTGCATAAGAAGGTGAAAGAGCGAGTAGAAAATTTGTAAAAAAAAGTAAATAATGCATGCTCTTGCTGTGTATTGCAGTTATTGAAATTTGAAATGTAAGCAAATTTCCTTACAATTTTAATAGAATATTATAAAGCGGGCCTAATAAAATAAGCAGGAAAATGGTAGATTTACAACTAAATGTACGAGTAGTAGTTCTGGAGGCAAAAATAGCAATCGTCAACTATCTTCGACACGTCAGTGGAAGAAGAATTTTTATCAATAAAAGTCTAATAGTTTCTTTTTAGTTTTCCGGCAACTCCATGTATATGTGCTGTTAGTTACAATCGTACATTAATATATGTCACAGTATAGGATTTGTTTTTCCTGATTTTATTGAAAGTAGGCTATAATTTTGGCTGTGTTAGGTATAACGGTGCAATATAACAGTTTATAATAAGTTTCGTAGCACTTTCACTCCTAGATTTAAAAAAAACTGAATTGTTTTCTTTACTTATCGACTTATTTCAAAGAGGCAATTCGATCACAGAAGCTAGTTAAAGTCGAATCTATTATTGTGGTAAGGGGTTTTGAAAATTTTGTTTTGGTACATAATTTCATACATTTTATATGAAAACTCCTTAAATTTTCGTGCGATAACCAGCGTTAAATTCAAATTTCCAATTGCAAACGCATGGTGATTGGACTAAAAACTTACCGCGTTCTGCGTTCTTTGAGGTAAAGCACTTGTAATAATTATCATACTTAATAAAAATTTAATTTGTTTTCATCCTAATCCACTCTATACGTATAACATACGTAGTATATAAATATCTGAACTTGGAACGAGTTTTCGTTAAATGTTCAGTGTACTAAACGTTCAGTATACTGAACGATCAGTATTCTTTTGATATAGTACCGTGAAATACGAATACTGAACGTTTAAACACCGTTGTTATAGTTCGGTCCAACTGATGAAAATTTCTTAATAAATTTTTTGAAACAAAATATGAGGTGTGAAAATAATGTAAAATGTGATAAAATTTTATAGAGAATTGCCAAGAAAGCGATAAATGCATTATAGAACCATATACAGTCTGAAAGAAAAAATAAGAAAAAATAAAAAATTATAGAAAGTTGAATGAAAAAAGAATTTTAGAAAATCAGCTTATGTATATGAATTTAATATTGGCACCTTTAAAGGTGAAGAGAATGTGAATATAGTTTCCTTTTTGTCGTTTTTATTCTTTCTTTCTTTGATTTTTTAATTTAAATGCACCTCAGTTTACGTGATAGAGTATAGAGATTTTTTTTTTTTATTAATTTATTTTAAAATTTTGAACTTTTTTCATAGTGAAAATTTTATTTTATATAAGAAATTAAAATGCATAGAATGTAACTTTTTAAGTTCTAAGTAGCTTTTGCGGATGATGGAATTTCTTTTTTTTACTTTCACATGGAAATGTTTGTTAATTATTTTCTCATTTTTCTTTAAAATTAAATTCTGAAAGAAAAAAGACGGTAATATCAAAAATATTGAAAGTTTTGACCATTATATGGTTGGAGTTGAATAATTTTTAAATACACAATTAAAATTCAAAATTAAGAATTTGGAATTTTATGAAAATTATAATTTGAATTTTAAGTTTTTTCTTTTTAAAATGCCAGATTTTTTACCATAATTTTGAATGCAATAAAAAATTTGAATAAAAACCGAGTTTTATATAATAATTTTTCATTCAAAAGTTTCATTTTATTCGATAATTGTGGATTAAATGATAGCAAATTTGTGTTCCTGTCATAGGTTGAAACTGCTTTTGTCATAGCTTGAAAATATGAACCATTTCTGATATTAATAAATTTTTAAATGGTGTTATTATATTTGTATTCTCAATATTCAGCCGGATTTTTTTTTAAATTCTTTTCAGTTTTCTACTGAATTCTAAGGAAAAAATTGTTCGGATTGACTCCCATTTAATGATGAACCGTCACTGTGAAAAATATAAATTTTATCAGAAAAATTAAGAAAATATTATGAACCATGAGTATAAGAATTTGCCATAAAACCACTTACCTTTGGATGTCTATTTAAAACTGCTTTTCAAATTCATCGAATTTGTTGTGTAACATCGCAAACTATTAATTTTTAAACATAGAAACGCTGATAATATGAGCAATCTATTTTAAAAAGTAACTTTCTAATACAAAATTTTTAAAAATACACTTTAAATTTTTTTATAATACTATTTTATAGTCAACTTAAATACAAACATTGTCAACTTAAATAACCATTAAAAATTTCAAAATAACAAAGCAAACTCTATAAAATTTTATTAAAATTTTTGACATAAAAAATTTTTTTCTTCAAAAATAATAAAAAACGAAAAAAAAATTTAAAACTGAAAATTTGGAAAAAAATAATTTTATAAAAAATAAAATAAAATTTTTCACATTCAATCCTTAAGAAATGCAAAACTTTAAAAAACTTTTAAGTTGATGGGATCTTGGAATTTAATTGGAATTCTCCTCCTGTTAACAATAACAGCCGGAGTATCAACTCCTAATCATCATCAAAATAATGGTAATTCATTATTATCACATCAAAAACAGCATCAGCAACATTCACATAGCAACTCAAATCGTCAACATAGCAATTTAAATAGTTTTGGTAATAATGGAAATGGTGAAATTGGTACAAATGGTTTTTCAATTGGAAATGATAATGGAAGTGGTACAAAATCATTTACACCAAATAAACAAGATCCTTTAGCAGATAGCAATAGTAGTGGTGCAGATAAAAGTGGATCAACAGCCTTAAATGGTAAGTTGAAAATAATTTTTATGTATATTAATAAAAAAATTTTTAATTTTTGTTTTAGCACCAGTTTCCGTTGATTTGTGTTTTCACTACGTATAACGCAATTTTGTCCACATTATCCAAACATGTTATCATCCTTATCATGCGTACTTTGTCCAAGAGGATCATTCCTAGTAGATATGGAATCGGTTTCTCGTAAAGACGATTAAAAACAAATTTCGTTTTATTTTTGCCCCAAAAAGTGCGATTTTTTAAATTCTGAAACAGCCTTAATGCATATTTCTTGAACAAATGCTTCGCGTTGGTCACCGAAGCCATTACAAAATTACGGAAATTTTCTTAAATCATCCTGTTAAATTAGAGAACAGTTATCAGAAGCCATTTATCATTTATTGAAATAGCAATAAAATGTCAAAACAACGGCAAATATTTTAATCCGAATGTTGACGTTTTGTGTCAAATGAGTGTTAATTCATTCCCAGTGTTTTCGTGCAAAAATGCATTTTATTTCCCGCAGGAATTTGTCTTCAGTAATGAGTTTCATTTCTTAACTTAATTATACACTTGAACTATTAAAATTAAAATTGACCAAACCCCACATCCTCAATCCAATAAAAATCAAGTTTTTATTTATCCGCGTTCCTCGTACTCTTCTTGTTGTAAAATATTCGCTTGAAGGCGACAAGATATTCGATTATCTCTATAATTAATAACTTAATTGGCTATTCCTCTTTCTCATACAACTCGAAATACATAAACATAGAGATAAACTATATACAATTATAATGGTATATATGCTATGCAGTAAAAATTAATAGGGCTGAATAAATAAACATCAATTATATTGTGTAATTAAGTAGAATTTTTTAAAAAATTGCAAGGGTTTTACTATTAAAAATAAAAAATGACAAAATATACAGGTTTATATTTAAAATGATGAATCGTAATATACAATATAACAATAAATCAAATTTTATATTAATTTTCAGCTGTTTATAAGCATAACTTTTAATTCAATATTACAATTGTTTTATTTTTATGCTTATTTTTTATTTATTTCATATAATATGCGTTCTTTCCTATAAAAATCCAAAATAAACATTTTTTGTTTTCATTTTCTTTCCTCTAGGTATATGACTTAATTTTTTCCCGTAATGAGTTTATACAAAATATTATTAATAGTTATATACATACACATTATAGAGTGGAAAATATACATACACGTATATGGTTATACGCATATGTATGTAATGCAAAATGTATTTAAAAATGTTCAATTTATCTTTAATTTCACCAAAACGATTAATTTGTACTGTATACACAATTTAAATTTCAATTTATAGCCATTAGTAATTACTCCCTGCTACTCTCAACCCATTCCACTCAATCCCACTTTTATTATTCCTTTTTTCGATATTTTATTTTTTCAACCATTTTTTGGTTCACGTTTGTTCGCCTTTTTTTTTTGTTTTTGATTGGCCTTTTAAAATATTAATGTACACATGTGAATATTTATAAATTTCCAATTCAACTGATATCCTTTGGTTCAATGGATGACTTCTATCGCCGTATGTTTTTTTTATATTCTTCTTTTGCTGGTTTTGTTTTTTTTTGTTTCTCTGACATACCAAAGTACCACAAATACTATGTATTTCATACATCAAATACATAAGTATTGTATGAATGCATTTTTTACACGAGATTATTATAGACCATGATTTCACTGTGATGTTGAATGAAAACACTATAATAACTGATCAATACAAAAACACAAAAAAAAAAAAGAGGAAATAACAAGTAAACAAAATATAAACAGGATAAAATTGGTCAAACATTTACACATGAATACATCAATGAGTTGTAGACAGAAAATATAAAAATAAAATAACAATAAAAAGAAAAAATAATAATAACATAAAATTGATATTTGCAGTAATGGAGAGGATGAAATAAAGTGAGAGAAAAATATTGTTGGTTTTATATTTCTGCCTCAATCAAAAATTTCAAAAAAATTTTAAAACTAAATGAGAAAAATTGATCTTAAAATTAATTGTATAACAATTGAGTGTCAAATATTTTAATCACGAGAACAGTGAAAATGCTTGTACGTATAACAATTATAATGAGGAAGTTTTCAGTCTCGTTTAAGAAATGAAGTTTTAGATATCATTATCCTCTGAACACTATTTTACTCTCCTTTTTACAAAAGGGCTGCATGCCGATATTACTCTCTTTCTTACTTTGCAGGCGCCTAATTTATTTACAACTATTCTTTTCAATGCAAAATTTTTATTTGAATTGCAGTCTATAATCGACTGCCACAAGTTCAAGTTGTTAATTCTCCTAGGTCAGGCTCTTCATTATATTAATTCTTTATTAATTTTTTTATAGATTATTTATAGTCACAAATATAATTGAAATCTTTTAAATTTTTGACTAAAAATTGACAAATTTTTGCATTGAATTTGTAAAAGCAGAATAATTTTAGTAGCATTATTAATATTAGAAAAATATAATTAAACAATGACTTCGGTATAAAGCAATGTATAGAACATTTCGTCGGAAATTTCTTCATGCCTCTGTAGCTCAGTTGGTAGAGCGTCCGCCTAGAAAGCGGTAGGTCAGTGGTTCGAGTCCAGTTCGAGGAGAAAAATTTTTTAATTAATTTTTCTGCCTTTAACTCGTTCCTTTGATTACGTCATGCATCTGTTCTGCAGTTGCATGAAGAAATTTCCATTAAGTTAAATGACTTCGGATTTCATTTCAAAACTGAATTTTATTAAGGAAATATTCCAAATTTTTATCAAAAATAAATTCATTCAGATTTTTAACTAGAAACTCCCAAAAAAATAATTAAATAAAGTAAATATTAATAATTATATGGTGAGAATGAAACAGATTCTTCTTTTAGTAAAAATATTGAAAACAATTCATTTGTACATTTTCATTAAAAATAGAGCAATAGAAATTCTGAAAAATAAACCATTGGTCGAATAAAACAAAAATAAAAAACAGGCAAACCGTACACAGAATTGAAAAATAAATAGCCAAGAGATATCATAACGGTAAAATGTAAACCGTTGTAAAAAATTTTTTGTGTAAATAAAAAAATAAATTGGAATAAATAAAATGATATGAAATGGAAATTTAACAGATTTCCAAGAATTTTCCTTTAGTTTTCGAATGATAATCCTGTTTATTATTTTTTTTTCAATATTAATATTGTTAATTAGAGCATCTCACATTATTTTATTATTTTTGAGAAATAATAAAAATAATTTTATTATTTTTCGTGAGAAAAAAATATATTCCAAAAATTTCATTATCAAATGATTCTGATTAAAATTCAATATTAAATATTTAAGTAAATTTAACTTTGTGTATATATATATATATAATTAAGGATTTTCAGTCAATTAGATTTTTGCAATTAAATATAATTGTAAAACAATTAAAGAGAGCATAATTGAATGTAAACATTTGGTTTTTAAAATAAATCATAAAATGTCGGTTAATTGATGTACATATGTCGGTTATATGAGCGAATGAACTTTCAATAATTTTCAATCTTACATCAGCAGTACATAATATGCTTTTAAGCTATTTCGAAGGCACAAACAAATTTGTCAAATTGAATTTCTTATTTAACTGGCATTGTTTTGAACCATTATAAAATTTAATCTCTTTTAGGTGTTCTCTAAATTTAATTTCTCTCATACTTAAAAAATTGTGTTCTAAAAAAGAGAAAGAGAACATGTTATTTTGTTTGGATTGGGGCAATAATAAATGAATTTATTCTCTTACTTTCTGCAATGCTAATTTAAACATTATAAATAAACAATTTCGAATATAAGTATTTAAGAAAAAAAATTATGTAAAATATCTCATTTTACGGTAACCAAAAATTAGACTCAAAATTACACCGACCACTGCTTAACAACATTACATAAGCAAGTGAACTAATTGTTAGCAAATGTCTGCAAATCAGTAGCTCTGTGCCATAACCTGATGATAATTCTGTTGTGTGACATTAGTAATTCTGACGTAGAATTGATTAGATTGTTAAAATGGTGTTAGAAACTAAATATTTGATGACAATTAATTAAAGAATATTCTCTGTTGACAATTTCAGAACAAAATTTTTTTTAAAAATGTATACGAGTACTTGTATAAAAACCATAATCCGGTTTAAAGAATTAAAAGTATATTAGTCTAAATACAAGACTTATATTCGACTTACACCACATATGTGCTAAAGCAAAATATTAGCAGTAGCAGCAGCAGCAGAAATCTAAAATTTCTTAACTATATTGAAATTTAATGGAACCACAGTTGGTAGCTCTAAGGGTTTTTTGATTACAGCAATATTAAAATAAAAAAAAAACTTAAAAAACTTAATCCCTTAAAACAGTAAAGAAAAAAAAAAACTAGTGAATCTCAACCCTAAAATCTGTGATAATGTCAAGTTGATGGTAAAACTGATTATATCCATTAACAGATTGCCTTTTAGGCATAAAAAAACAAAATGAAAAAAAAAAGAAATTAACATTTTTATTCCAATGTCCTTCTGCTCTATGTCCCGTTTTATTTTAATTTTTTTTTTCCTCTTCCTTTTATATTTTCCATTTTTACTATTATTCCTTTAGCGATATAAATCTGTTAATCATTGTTTTGTGTTGTTGTACTCGGTTGCAAGTTGTATAGTTTTGCAAAAACTTGTAAATTGCATTTTAATATCAACGTCAGTTCAGACCGGTCAATTCTATTCTTCCATTTATTTATAAAGGCCTAGGTTATATACGTAAAAGTGGCGCTATTCAAAAATAAAAATAAAATTCGCCATTGTTTACTATTTTTATAATACTCTGATGGAAAATGGCGATTTTAAGCTTTTCAAGTTTTCATTTTTCTGAGAAAAAAAAAAATTTAAAAAAAAAAGAAGAGAGGAAAGCAAAAAATGTCAGAAAAATTTTGAAAACTTAAAAAAAATTTTAAAAACTTTT